AGAACGGGGTATAAAAAATTGTGGATCACGGCTTTACCTTCTGCTTAAAATTGTTGCTGATTATGAAGAAGCATTTATTTGATGTATAAGTCGATCAAATAAAGAAATATCTTTTTAAAAAACAGGGCTATTTCAATTTACACACTTTCTAGAACGGAGTATAAAAAATTGGCCCATTTCTAGAACGGGGTATCAGTTTTAGGGCGAATTCTAAAACGGGGTATAAAAAATTGGCCTATTTCTAGAACGGGGTATCAGTTTTAGGGGAAATTTTTTTTAGAACGGGGTGCCAATTTGGAGTCCCGGGCGGCACACACCCACCAAAAAAATACCCAAGTGCCCCCCCCGGGGGACACAGGAACAAAAGGGTCAAAAAAGATACAAACATTAACCACAAAGGACTGCAAGCAGAATACTGCAGTCCAAGTGTCAAGTTACGCCATACTGACGAGCCCCAACGAGGGAGAAACAGCTGTCTATGGCTACAATCCCGCTCTGTTTTGAGTTCTTTCGCTGTCGTGTTGATGTCTTGCAGAGTTAATTTTCACGTCGTACGATCAGCATTGCAGTATTCTGCTTGCAGAATTTAATATGTCTACTTTTCATTTTTGCTGGTCTTAATAGATCCTACGTTTTCCGGCATATTCGTTTGCGGTCCTTTACAGTCCTTTGTGGTTAATGTTTGTACTTTATGTATTCTGGGGCCGTAGATCTCATATAGATCCAATATGCCGTAATTTTTGCATGGTTTTGTCCATGTGTGTAAGGTTAGTTTTGGCCAACTATTTATTTTCTCTGCGAGACATCAACTTGACACTTGGACTCTTGCCCCCCAGAAGACACGTGGTATGGCGTGATTCTGTGGGTATGGAGGGTTCTACATTGTAGGTCAGAGCTTAAATCAGAGTGCGCGGATATTTTGCACCAGAGCTTTGTGGTTGTTACTCCATACTGACGAGCCCCAACGAGGGCGAAACAGCTGTCTATGGCTACAATCCCGCTCTGTTTTGAGTTCTTTCGGTGTCGTGTTGATGTCTTGCAGAGTTAATTTTCACGTAGTACGATCAGCATTGCAGTATTCTGAAAAAAGATACCCTATTTAAGGACCGAGAACCTCAAAAACCATACCCTCTTCCGCGGCACGTACCTATATAGCCCATATATGGGAGTACCCCCCCCCCCCCCC